CAAAGCACAGAAATACAGAAGGGAATACTTACATCTCCGATAGCATCTAATTCCTGTTGAGGGGCAAAAAAAGACAATTAGAGAGACAGCATTGTGTGAGAAATTCAAACATGAAATAAGAAATGAAAGGTTTTAAGAGATGGGATTCAAAGTTTTGAAACTGTTCATCCATTTAGTCTTGGTATAGTCGTGGGAATTTGTTAAAAAACAACAGTATACTCACTGCGGGTACAGGAATAGCCCCAGTAATCTTTAGGAAGGGAAGGAGAAGATACTGTGTTAACAGTGTGACTGACATAGACAGGACCACCACACAATCAAGTCTCCCCTTCAGTGATAACTACCAATTGCAGTTTAAAGGAGAACATGGTTGTGCATAGTTTTCCACTGATAAACTACGAAGGCTATGACTGAAAGTCACAAAGACAGTGAAGTTAACTATATTTCTGCCATTCTCTCTCAGACCCACTCAGAACTGTTGATAGACATTGAGGTCTAGGTCATCACTGTTACAGTTCCAACATCCCCAACCAAGAGCAAGTACTTCATCCACTCTGTGGAGGCGTGGGTTAACCACACCTCGTTATCGCCTATTTAAACCCTGCTCCCTGTTCATTCAGTGTTCAGTATTGATTCAGACTTTGTGAGTTACACACTCATTACTGTGAGGCCTTTTATGGAAAGTTTTTTGGCTTCTTGACCCCTTTTGCTAGTCTTTCATGATGACCTTGGATTTCCCTGTTGCTTAAATGTACTATGATACCCTGACAGCATAGGGTCCATGCTTTTGCTAATTGCTGCTCTGCAGCATAACAGTCACTTGCTTAGGACAACACTTCGTACATCACTCTGATGTGATCATTTGCACAACAGAGGGATGAGGCCACTTTGGATAAGTAATTTCAGTACTTACAATTGATGCAGTAACCTCCTGCAAGACAGAAAGACATTCAATTAGAGATGCTGCTGTTCCTCCTTCCCTAATAGATGAAACAAGTGCAAAACTCAACTAAAAGCAGCTGTTAAATATGAAAGGGAAGATGCACAGCCAAAAACTGTATAGCTCTACTGCACTACAGACTCCTCCACACTCCAGAGAGAGTCAGGTCTTCAGTGGAGCTCACCTTTCTTGTCTGGAGCGTTCATTGTGCTCAAAGAGCTGCTCTCATCTGAAAAAAGGACAAAGAGGCCCAAGCCCAGGTTTCAGTTAGCTGTACCAGCAGCACTGTAAGGAGCTGAAAGAGTGAGGAAGTGAACAGGTCCTTACCCAGTCCTCGCTTTCGATAACCTTTATCCATGTGCATGTCAGCATCAATCTCTACCAGAGGGAAAAGACACCAGACACCATTACACCTTCTTTACACAACAGGTTTCTCTCTTCCTCCAAGAAACAGCTGCATGAGATCCACAGAACAATTAGCTGTTAATTACCAAAGGAGTTAGACATGCCAAATGGCCAACTCTCATTCGTAAGTATACCTGAGCTCGAATGTTCACCTGTTGCTCAGTCACCCTGTTCTACACTTTGAGTGTCAGAAGCACTCTTACTAATCTCACTGCTCTTCTGTTGGTAAAGTTTGGTCTTTTCAGCATCTGTCAAGCTAAGATCACTG